CAGCCTTTTCTGGTGCTCGTCGGAGCGCCTTCTCCGTAGATTCGAGGCGGCGCAGGGCCATGCTACGGTCATTGGGCAGGGGGGCGCAATCAGGTTTCCACAGAAGGCCGGTTTCATACCTGTCACCTCTCCACTTGGTGGTGGACTCCATCATCTCTTCCGCCAGTCGATCTTCATGAGAGCGAGGCTGCTTCATATTGTACCTTGTTCCAAAAGCCTCGGTAGACCAGAAGTCTCTCACTAGAGCTTGCAGCTTCTCTTCGCCTTCACAGCGGTGGGCCAAATGCAGCACTTCTCGGGAGCCGACCGGTAGAAGCTGTGCCACGCTGCCCGTCAGACACCACCCAAAATACGTCCGGATGGCTGCCGGCTGGCCTGGCCCACCTACTCGGGCCTCCCGCTGGAGAATCGCCTCCAGCACATTAGCACCTAAGAGTAATTCGATCTTCCGTCCGTTGGTGTCTGGAATCGAGATGCCTTCCAGGTGTTTCCACTGAGCCCTTCTTGACCAATCGACTCTCTGCGGCCGGATATTGAGCTGGGGAACGGAGAAGACTTCGGGCACCTTTACAGGCTCACATTGCCCGTCTGCCGACAGCGGAGCCACCTGCAGTGACACCTTCATTGTAGGCCGGGTCATGCCGGTACCCTCAACGTTACCGAGCGTGAGCTTCTCCGTCGACCCAGTCACCGACAGATCCCGAAGCACGCTCTCAATGCATAATGATGTGCCCGCTCCCGAGTCGAGCAGCGCGTGCGTGTCGACGAACTTCCCAGCTGGGCCGAGTACTCTCACGGGAACCACTTGCAGCAGTGCTTTACGTGGCCCGCTCGTTGCATCCAAGGCTGTCGCCATCACACTTCTCGGCTGGTCAGCAGCTAGTGCTGGAGCATCCTGCTCCTCTGAGCGCCGACTCGAGCGATCGGGCACATGCAGCAGTGGGTGATGTTTCCCACGACAGCCGTTCTCTCCACAGATCAACTTCTTTCGACACCGGCTGGCCCAGTGTGACTCGCCGAGACAGCGATAACAGCGTCTGTTGTCACGCGCGAGCTGCAGGCGGTCGACTGGCGCCATGGCTTTGAAAACTGGACAGCAATCCAGATTGTGCGCCTCTCCATCGCAGGCCGGACATGGAGCGGGCTCTGTTGCCGTCGCTGTAGCCAGAGTGGTGCGCTGGCTGCTGCCTCTCCGTCGACCGGCTGGCTCTGCCGGAGCCACCCGCTGCGTTCTGGGCATCATCACCTCCCGCTGTCTAGAGACACTGAGCGCGCGGCGACCAGCCAGCACCAGCGGTCTCAGCCACTGGTCAACGTCTCCCAGCGTGGGACGACGTGGTGCCATCTTCAGCTCCACCTGGCCCCACTGCCAAGCCAGTGACCTTGGCAGCTTTTCTAGGACCTGGTCCAGGTTTGTTACTGCAGCGAGGTCAGCTTCGAAACCTCTGGCGGACAGAACACTGACGGCGGCGTGGAGGGCGCGAGAGAACCGCATCAGGCTCTCGACATCATTTTCCTTTATGGAGTGATGCTTGAGGACACCATCAAGGGTAGCTGTTACAACCGCGCGAGGGTCCCCAAATTGCATATCCAGCTCTTTCAGTGCCTCTTCATACATGTTGCCGTCACATAAGAGCCCACGCACTGCTTCTCTCGCTTCGCCTGTCAGACAAGACTGCAGGTAGGTCAAACGTTCGGTGTCTGAGAGAGCGCCGTTATCATGCACCAGAGCCCGGAAAAGTCCGCTCCACCGTGGCCATTCGAGTGGAGAGCCATCAAACTCGTCCAGCGTTATCTTGGGCAGTGATGAGGTCCGGCGCTGGCCGTCACCGCACGGCAGCTCACTCAGCCAGCGCTCCGTGCGCTCCCGGGCGTCAGCATTTGCATTTTGTTCAGGCAGGTGAGCTCGCTGGGGCCCTGCAGCGGACTGAGATCGTATCTGATTCACATCGGTTAACTGCTGCATCTGACCGTGTCTTGATATGACACCGGAGGGCGGCCTAGGGTCTGCCGGCGCTCCATTTCCCTCTCTGTCTCTATCTTCAAATACCAAATCGTTCGGGGACTGGGACTTCAAATCGTCGTCTTCCATGAGCCGCAATTCTAAAGCATCGATTTCGGCGGCGTCAGCAGCCCTCTGAGCCTCTGCCCGGGCCTCCTGTATCACGAGTTGGGCCTCAGCCTCAGCAGCGGCGGCGGCAGCGGTGGCCGCCCGTCTTCGTGACTCCAGCGCTCGTTCAGCTTCATCAGCCGCTCGTCTGGCCTGGAGCGCCTTCAACTGGGACACCTGAGCCTTCCTGCGCTTGGCACTGGCTGTTGAGGTGCTGGTTCCAGCCTCACTCCTCGTCTTCAGGCTGGCCTCCGACGTACTCGTATCTCCGCTCATTTTTACGTTACGAAAATATGAAACTCGTTAAAAGTCCTCAAACCTTAAAATAATAGTTCTGCATTGGTTACGTTAGTTCGTTACAGTGTTATGCGCATATGTTTCAAAATCTAAATACTGATGCAAGTTCTGAGTTCAAATGCTTAAGTGCGTTACGTTAATTCTGAATCCGGCCCGGAGGACCATAATGTTGTGTCTGCAACATTAAACAAAAGTGCCGGATCTTTCTCATCAAGAAAAAACGGAAACGCAAGCAAACATTTTCATTCATTCGTCGAGCCAAAGCAATAACAATACCACAATGAACCAAGTTTTGAGCCAAATTTCAAATTCCTTTTTTTCCCGTTATCATTTTCTTCACATTCTTCATCAGTGTAAAGCCTAAGCTACACTAGCATGAATTCCGACGTTTTTTCGGTTTCTGCGGGATTTCGGTTCGCGTCGTCAAGTTCGCCTCATAGCGAATGCATTGCGCAAGCTACACTGCCAGTCTGGCGTCCCGTGGAACGAAAACCCGCAAAAACCGACGAGTCGGAACCGAAAAAAAGTTCAGAGCTGTGAACTTTTTTTCGGTTTCTGCGGGATTTCGTTTTAGTGATGAATGATTAGAAGTGATTGTTGCTAATAATAGTGTGACGATGGAACAGTTTCAACTGTAAATAATGAAAATGGTGTAATTCATGATTAAAGAAGACAAGATGTGTTTCAAAACTCATCATTCTACTTCAAATATGATAATTGTAATTAAGCTGACAAATGATTATGATCGAAAATATATTCTTGTTAGTTGTAAAATCTTTAAAACAATTATTTAATTATGATTTTGTTAAAACACGACAACATTTAACATGAATAATTAATTAATTTGATCACTTATCCATCACTATGCTATAAACAACACCGTCCACGCGGCGGCCGCCCGGAACGAAAAAACGCAGAAACCGTAAAAACGCGAAAACCGAAATCACGCAGAAACCGAAAAAACGCTGATAGTGTAGCCTGAGCTTAACACATTTCATTTTTCATGCGCCTTTTGTCTCGCGCCATCGTTCTAATATGGACTTTGTTCGGACAGAACACCAACCATGCACATTGTAAAATCATTATTGCGGCCAAATCGGCTTGCCGCTTTGAGGCCCAGGAGTCGAGCTGTACTCAATTACCCATGCACGATGTACATTGCACATACATAGTACGTTTACGTGTGCACAAAGCAACATTAACCTCATTTCAGAGAACTAGCGCCACCGCAGCCCCACAAACATCCATTTTCAATATCATTGTCCACATATCCTGTCCACACCCCGCACACTCCTCTCGTCCCTTAGCGGCGAAAATTCGACGTTCAATTCAATTCCACCGGTCGCACGTCACTGCCAGTGACATTTCGCTCAGCGCCAAAAACCAGAACACCAGAGTCCCATCTCGCTACCGTGACCCTGAATGCGTCGGCGGCGGTCCCGACTGGATGTAGAACTCTTCCGTTATTTGTGAACACGGCGGAGAGATTCGGGGACTGTCCGCGACCGTCAGTATCGCGTTTACATCTCCCCCGCGGGCATGTAAAACAAGTACACACGTCGAGGGCTGGGGTAACTCAGAACGCCGAATAACATCAAACTCAATAAGGTGATGCTCAGTGCTCACCGTGCTGCTAAAAGTACGGCGTTAATATACCTGTCTGTCGAGCTTTTTGTCTGAATCGAAAAAAAAAATGTCATAACAGCACTCAGCAGCGCCAATATCCCTGCGCCTGAACCGCCAGTTCTGGGCCACCTCGCATCCTTTACCTCGCCTCGAGCAATACAGGACAGCGAGCGACTGGCTGGCGGATTTCCCCGTCCCCTGACCACTACCGTCTCATCCCTCCCCTCATCTAGCACCCCCCCCCCCCGTTGGCAATGTCGGACGCGACAGCCCTCGGGCGTCGCCGTGAGCGATCGGGCGCCCGAGCCGCCTCCGACCCCGCCGACAGCGTCCATCGGAATGGGACTCAGCGTCGGCACACCCCGGGGCCTTGTGTTGGAAAAGGGAGGGTGAGACGGACCGCTCTGATGAGACACAAGTCCAGTTGGAAGAGATGGTTTGATGGACTAGCGGGAAATCTGACGTGATTATCACTGGCTTTGAATCCGGGGAGAGACATCGCCAGGGTATTTTGCGTGGCGATCATATGCGTTTTGGATATACATAGGTAAGTATAGATTGTTGAATCTCTCTCTCTCTCTCTCTCTCTCTCTCTCTCTCTCTCTCTCTCTCTCTCTCTCTCTCTCTCTCTCTCTCTCTCTCTCTCTCTCTCTCTCTCTCTCTCTCTCTCTCTCTCTCTCTCTCTCTCTCTCTCTCTCTCTCTCTCTCTCTCTCTCTCTCTCTCTCTCTCTCTCTCTCTCTCTCTCTCTCTCTCTCTCTCTCTCTCTCTCTCTCTCTCTCTCTCTACTACCTTTACCCTCTCTCTCTCTCTCTCTCTCTCTCTCTCTCTCTCTCTACTACCTTTACCCTCTCTCTCTCTCTCTCTCTCTCTCTCTCTCTCTCTCTCTCTCTCTCTCTCTCTCTCTCTCTCTCTCTCTCTCTCTCTCTCTCTCTCTCTCTCTCTCCCTCTCATCCAATGAGCATCGAGACAGCCAATCTTTGTGTGAACACTAGACAGCCTTGTCTATCTCAGCCATTACTGCCATGCTCTTTTGGTTTATAAAACATCTAAAAATAAAATAAACTGTCCACGGTCCACCATAAACACCCGAGGTCATATGGGTCATGACAGAGACATGTGAAGGACAAACTACATAGTACTGCCACTATACGAGCTCTAGGCATGTACGCTTGAACTTTTAAGACAGAACCAGTGCGGCCGGACACTGCGCACGTTCCACGTTCTTGCCGAAGATTGGGAGAAACAAGACGCCAGATCGTGCATAAAGGTAGGTAATCCATTACTGAAATTGAAATATCTTTATTCATAAAATAACGATCGTTATCAATTATATTGATGAATAATATTAATTGTTAGACGTTAGTTTGTCGTTAATCGTTAATTGATCGTTAATGAATAGCGAATAAACAACACTGTACGTACTGTTTTAGTAACATCTATTTCTGGTCTACAATGTGCAATGTTACCTGCGCAACCGTAGCATAGCCCCTTAGCATATATATGGAGTGACGACTTTGTATGATGCGCTTGTAGTGCGTTTAGTTTGTGACCGACCACACGGCTCCGCGAGCCGCACCGGCCGGCGCGGCGGCTAGTGAGATCATGACCTGGCCTTGTGTTGGGAAATGTACCTGCGGCATTCGGGCGGCGGAGGACATTCTCTTTCTATACTCTCGTTCCACTCTCTTTGGGCGACTCTCTCTCTCTCTAGACGTTCGGCTCAGGGCTTCAGTGTATCGGTGGTGCGCGCGGGAAGCTGCCGCGTCGCGGCAGACGAGAGTGAACGGTGTGTTTTCTCGTCACTCAACATGTAAGGACCTTAGTTTCACATTTAGCCTTCGCCGGATCTCTTACAGGATTGGCAGCATTATGCCTAGTCGCTATCGGTCACTCAGACGAGAAAGTGAGAGGGTGTTGGCAGCCTTTCTGGTTTAAGACTCCATTTCAGTTGAATCACTGGACGAGGGCGCTTACCCCCACAACATTCCACAGTACACATGCATGCATAATCATATTGCATAAGGCTGCAGCACGGTATTTGCCTGCGTGGTTCGATTGTTTGTCTCGGCTTACTTGCATGGATTCGAATCAATCTGTTTTTGGCACTTTTGGACGTTTTGATATCATGAGCCTGTTTCGGAATGACTATTTCGGTGTTATTATTTCGCTTTTTAGTATGTTTTGCATAAATCATTTTGGCTGATTGTCTTGCTTTGCTTTAGCAAACCTCCTATATGGTGGCATTGTTCAATTCTACTCTTTGGCTTGATTTGCTTCTCTCTGGCATTGATCATTTCGGCCTTCTTTTATTTACAATACCTATATTCGGGTCATCTCTTCGAAGTTAGTTATTTCTTGTAGTTGGGACTCGTTAAAGGACAGGGAGAAGGACGTGAGGAAGTAAGCTATACATATACCCCTAGACAAAGGATATCAGTTGATGAAGACAGATAATCCCTAGACAAACGACATAGATAGGTGGATCTCCAATTAGCCCGCGCGGGGCTGGGGGGGGGGGTAAATTTTACCCCCCCTCGCGAATTTTTGCGATATCTCAAAAACGGCGGCGCGCAGCGCCGCCAAACTTTCAGTACCTTTTCTTACATCAATTTGACACGTTCCCTGCAAATTTGAGCGAAATCCGTCGGAAAATTTTTGAGAAATTGACGTTTTAGTGACGTCATGTTCGCCATTTTCGCCTCAAAAACGGCAAAAGTTCAAACGCCGCTAACATCTTCATTTTTAAAGGAATCAAGACGTAACAAAAATGTTATACGTAATTTTACTTTGTCTATCAAATGGCTATCTCGGTTTTTTGAAAATTTTGGATTTTGGCCTAATTTTTTCAAAAAACTGACTTTTTTTGGGAAAATCATTATAAAATCCAAAATTTTGAGTCTATCGAAAAAACCGGAATATATGTCAGAGAAGTGGTCTATGTGCACCTACATACCAAATTTTAGAAGAATCGGTTCAAAAATGTGGGAGTTATTCACAATTTTATGACGTCACGACACACAAAATTTTTGAAAAATGTCTTTTTTGGAAGTTCTAGACCTCGTACGGAAACAAAAATAGCACCATTCGATTCGCCGTGAAAAACTGCATCAGATAGACACATTTTTAGGCCTTAACAACCAACTTCAAAATTTGACCTCACTTGACCTGACCTTGACCTGACCTCGACCTGAAATTCATCCAGAGGTGGTCCATATCACTTATTGAGTGTGCCTGTTGAATTCTATGAGTAAAATGACCCATAAAACATGTGTCGCACATGCCCTTTTCTATATTTTGTTTTTTGGTGACCTGACCTGACCTGACCTGACCTGACCTTGACCTTGACCTCTGAATGATATTGTATGCAACGAATATTGTCTTGGTAGCCTAAGAACACGTTTTGGGCGATCAGTCTCAGTCCATGACTCCATTCTTCGGCAACTACGGTGCAAGGCCGATACTGTAGAAACTTGCAATTTGTACCCTTGACCTGACCTTGACCTTGACCTCAAACTTTAAATTAAGTACATGTTTTTAGTAGTTCGTGATGAGAGCTTTCGATTGGCGTTTGAATTTTCCAAATCGGACCATTAGTTCGGGAGATAACAGGGGGGTAAAATTTACCCCCCCCCCAGCCCCGCGCGTTCGGCTGGAGACCCCAGCCCCGCGCGGGTTAACGATACTAACGCACATCGACCAGGATATGGAGATTCCCCATTCCTGATCCCGATCACTCGCCTCATTTACATCATCCTTGCCAGCACGATATCCCCACCTTCTCCAACTATCCTTTTCCTTTCCCCACCCTAACACAAAACAAGCCCCATTGAATTTACATATCTGACAGACTTTGTTATTCTTCCGCAGCGTTGCAAAACAACCTAGACGCTACATCAAACCGGCACTCATCACAGCAGCAGTCAAACTGAGCAATGGAGATCTCGCTGTCTGGGAAGCGTGTTCTGATCACCGGCGCCGGCCGAGGGATCGGCCGAGCCTTGGCGATCCGTGTGGTCGCCTGCGGGGGTCACGCGATCGCCCTGTCCCGGACCCAGGAGCACTTGGACACCCTGAAGGCCGAGTGTCCCTCGGTGGAGACGGTAACCTGCGACCTCAGCGACTGGGAGGCGACGCGCGAAGCGGTCGAGGCTCTGGGACCCGTCGACTGTCTCGTCAACAACGCTGGTGCTTTCATTTTTGAACCATTTCTGGAGGCTCGTAAGGAAAGTCTGGACACCATATTCAACGTCAACTTCAAAGGGGCCTTCAACGTTGCACAGGTGATCGCTCGAGGAATGGTTGAGCGTGGCAAGGGAGGCGTCATCATCAACATGTCTTCGGAGCTGGGACTAAGGACAATTCAGGGCGGCGCTATCTACTGCTCCTCGAAGGCGGCGCTGGACCACCTGACGCGCGTCATGACGCTCGAGCTGGGACCCAAGGGGATCCGCGTCAACTGCGTCAACCCGACGCTGGTTGAGACGGACATGTCGAGAGCTGTATGGGAGAATCCGGACACTGCCGAGTGGATTCGCACCCGGATCCCGATGGGTCAGTTCGCTTCGCTTGATGACGTGGTGAGCGCCACACTGTTCCTGCTCAGCGACCACGCCGCTATGATCAGCGGAGTAGCGCTGCCCGTGGACGGAGGAGCCACTGCGCGCTGAGAATTCCGCCACTGCGCGCTGAGAATGAGCCACTGCGCGCTGAGCATGAGCCACTGCGGCGCCGAGAAGAGCTGAGGGAGCCACTGGAGCCAAAGGCCCATCTTCAAGCAAGACGTGCATCGGCGCACAGGCCAAGAAAAGCTCATAAATGTTTTCAGGAGACTGTGGCAAGCGTCTGTGGCAAGATCACGTGCCAGGCAACTCAGCTGACCGAAATTTAATAAAAAAATATGTTGGGAATGCCTCGTCGAAGCGAGGCGCTGTTCATGTTCCGGCCTCTAGGAGCTCACGACGCATGCCAGGTCAGTGTGGGCTAGGTTCAAGCCGGCCACGCTGCAAAACATGGCGGCTGGCATGGCGCAGCGTGTATCCGTGTGTTTGCCAATGAAATGAGTAGCACATTGAGTGGTCAAAAATATATCAAAACGCAAGTACTCCGTTTTACATGCAAATACAATGTAAGAACGAACTTATGGGACGCCCTGTACATAGTGTCGACTGTGTAAATTGTGCTTTTGGATCAAGAATAAAAATAGATATCGAAGCATGCTCGCGATCCGCAAACACTTAAGTCACATACTGTACATCAATCAGGAATAGGCATAGGGGCTAAAAATAATTTCGATTGAGCGTTGATGAACGCTAAGAAAAATACAAAAAAGGAGCGGCCGACTGGCCGGACAGCCAGGCTCCTCTCCCACCTCAACCCCCTTCCCCGCCCCTAAAAGAGAAAAGTTGACTGATATGATTGATGAGATAGCAATTGTGGATGATGACTCATTGCAATGAGTGTTAAGACATGTCTTCCTTCACATCACATCATGAAAAGCTGAGCAGCAGAATGAAAACAGCACTCTTTTTTTACGAGCGAGCGAGCGCAGCGAGCGAAGTGAGTCTTTTCAATATAACGGAAAAATCTCAGTATGAGCGGCCCGGCCCGGCCCGGCCCGGCCTGGCCTGTAACGCTTTTGAGAGGCTTATATCTCAGCAACCGCTGGACCGATTGGCCTGCGGTCTTTTTTGTTGGGTAGCCCCATCCCTTCTACCCCGTAATTGACTACTTTTGATACATCTCAGTGACCGTGTGGCACGTGCCACGTGAAAAGTCAAGGGTGTTCAAGCTGTTTTGCAAAAGTAGTGATTTTGAGAGGCTCATATCTCAGCAGCCGCTTGGGCGATTGACTTGCGGTGATTTTTGTAGGGTAGCAGCATCCCTTCTACCCAAAATAGGATACTCTCGATGTATGTGGGTCACCCCCAGTGCACGTGCAAAATACAACAATAAGAGGTGCCAAATTTGTTCCCATTTCAGTAACTCGGTAATTACTGGAGCGATTTCGCTGAAACTTGGCATACAGGTAGGCACCCACCAGGCAATGCATTCCCATGTGTTGCGGTTAGGGTGCTACTGCACGTGCGCACGTGCAGGGGGCGTTTCCAGATCTCGAGAACGGCTGGGCCGATTGCGCTCAAATTTGGTACACGGTTGGGGACCAGTTAGTAGGGTGCCGTGCAAAAGTCATTTTGGACCCCGTTTGCACGTGTGCACGTGCAGAATGCCGCTTCCAGATCTCAGGAACGGCTGGGCCGATTGCGTTCAAATTTGGCACACCGCTGGCGACCGGTTAGAAGGGTGCTTTGCACAAGCCCGTTGGAAGCACCCTCTCGCCCTTCCGCACGTGCAGGGCTCACTATCTCGCTCGCTCGTTCTTCGCCCAAAAGGCGTTTTACTGGTAATAATACGTATGGCTACCAGTTACCACCCACATTTAGGTAGGTACGTCAATTCCCAATTTCCGCTAAATATACATGTGTGTGTTCGCTAAGCAAAAAAAAAAAAAAATAGCGGAGGGCCCAGTTCCCCCTTCCACCACCACCACCAACACCACCAACAACACCACCAACACCACCACCAATACCACCCACACCGACACCAACACCAACACCACCATTACCAGCGACAGCAGCAGCTTTCAGTCAATGACGAGTTATTGCAGTCAGCCCACATTAACACCACTATTTCGTGTAACCACCCATCCCCCTGTAGCATTCGTTTAGCTCTATTATATGCTATGCATATAGCAGCAAAGACACACAAATATGGCATCCTATCATCAGTTCCAGCATCCACCTGTTGACATTCAAAATTCCCTATTCGACAGTTCCCGGTAATATCAACGGCCGTTCCGGCCTGTTTCGCTCGGAAGACGGTGAATTGATCTTGAGTCAATTGAAGTGGATTCGCATGAGAAAAGAGCCGGTCAGCTGGACGTTATTACAGTTCCGATCACAGGAAACGATTTAATGGTACTCGCAAATTATGGGTATTGCACAGGATGGGCATTGGACATCAAACAATCCTATACATAGACTGAAAAAACGTATGTTTGATAAAGAACGTAGAGCGAAATTCGCTCGAACTGGCCTGTCTTATCTCTGCCAAGACATAGCAAGAATAGCCATAAGGAGGACGCAGCACCCTCAGCCGATCTCCGCGCCACTACGTCACATGAGAAGGTTAATGGGGGTTCTCAGAACACAGGAGGCATTTGACTTTGATTTCGACAGCAGCATCGGCAGTAGGTACTGCATAATCCCTTGATAGCCCTTTCGTACTGTCAGCTGCTACTGACCATTAACTAATGCTGGTAGTAGAATAGCTCACGCTTCGCCAATCACTAGAACCAAGTCCTCAGAGGTAGCTATTGATTACTGGTAAGTTACCTAGCACATGGTCTACACCTTTTTAGGCGCAAATTAATCTAACTGAAGACGAAATTAAAACAAGTGAAATCCAATTTAAGACAAGTGAAGCCCATATTAAAACAGTTGAGATCCAAATTAATCTTTGTGAAATGCATTTTAAAACAATTGAAATGCAATTTAAAACAGTTGATGAGTTTAACATTATTGGATGTGTTGAACATTTACCTATGTGGCGATTGTTGAAGCTATGATACCTTAACCTATGCCTATGCAGGTGGGTGCACTGATGTGCCTAACGGAGGTTTACTAAAACAAGGTGCATGGTTTTGCACAGTAAAATTGCACGTGAAAAAAAAAACTAATTTTACTGACATTTTTTCTGAGCTGAAGACGACGGCTCCTTTGAGTCCTGCTTATTTCACTCACTTGAAGTAGATTGGTGTGAAAAGTTGGCTTTATAGTCTATGTAATATTCATTTCTTCTGTAAATACCAATAACTTCTGTACCATACAATTGCATTGCATCATGGAGGGTGACCTTCAGGTCTTAGAAGACACGGATCAGGAAGTTGACCAACCAGCGCCGGCAAACACGCCGAATCGACGTGGAGTCAAACCAGGAACCCGGCGTGGGCACTACGTCCGAGTCCTACGTGATGCTCGGAAGCGGATTATAGACTGCTTCAAAGCTGGCGGCGACTGGAAGCAGGCCGCCACTGCCAATGGAGTTGCCGTGAAGACTGCCTACGGCTACATTCGGCGAGGCGAGGGTGACGGTGACGGGCCACCAAGGAAGCGAGGTGGCGCAACGGTCTGCAAGGTGGACGCGGCAATGATTGACACTTTAGTGGGCTATGTGGAAGCTAGCCCTCAGCTCACTCTGAAGGAGATCGCGAACAAACTGCGCGAGGAGACTGGTGTGCAGCTGTCCACCAACACTGTTCACAAGCACCTGAGTGGTCGCATGTACACGGTTAAGAAGGTCCTGCCCGAGCCGGTAACAATGAACAGTGCGACAAATAAAGACAGAAGAGCCACCTTTGTGCGAAAGGTAATGGAAGCCACTGGTGCTGGCAAGACGATCCTGTACATGGACGAAACAAATGTAAATTTGTTTCTCCGACGTTCAGAGGGACGGTCCCGCCGCGGCCAACGGTGCTGCGTGAAGGTCGCCACAGGTAAGGGCGACAACATCCATGTCATCGGCGCCATAAGCCAAACGGGCATGGTGTACTGGGAGCGGCGGCGCGGATCGTTCCGCAAGGAGGACTGCTGCGAATGGCTCCGGCGAGCTCTTCGACACTGTCCAGAGCCGATGGAGAATGTCGTGGTGGTGTGCGACAACGCGCCAGCCCACACCGACCTGGAGGCCATCCAAGCGGAGCCAGAGTTTGAGGGCGTCCAAATCCTCCGCACCGCCCCCTACAGCGCACCCCTTAACCCCATTGAGGAGTGCTGGTCGGCGATGAAGGCGGCGATGAAGAACAGCATGACAGCCAGCTTTCAGGAGATGATGACGCCAGAGACGGGGATCTCACAGACCGAGCACCGGCTTCGATATCTCGAGCGCAACATTGATGCCGCCATGCCTCGCATCACACCCATCATGTGCATGCACGCTTGCAATCACGTCCAAAAGCACTTCGCTGGGTGTCTGGCACTCATGGACTTGGCGATGGGCGTGTGAGCGCTACACTCGTAGTGCAATGATTATCGGATTGCATGGAACGAGAACTACCGGGTGCGGCCGGGGGAGGCGGTCACGGTGCCAGGTTTTCCGCGGCCGCTCCAATGTGCCGCACCGGGGGCCAGCATCGCCCATGAATTACCGTAAGAATGTAAACAGCGCACTTGTTGTCAATGAATTACACCGACATTTATTGGTATTGAGCATGATCATTGATGTTTGTACCGTACCAATATACGATGGCATTGGACATTGGTTTCCCACAGCGATATTACCTCCTGCCCGGTCAGGATTTTTGTCTTCGTCCTGGAAAGAATACAAATAAAGACGATGTCATTTGGTATTTGATTTTACATTTTCTTCTTGAAATCATAAGCAAATTGATCACTCATTGGCAATCATTTGCGACACCAATAGCTTTCTGCAGTTCGTATATTCTGCGGTCTTTCAAGCGTTTTAAACTGCATTTCAATTGTTTTTAAATGCATTTCACAAAGATTAATTTGGATCTCAACTGTTTTAATATGGGCTTCACTTGTCTTAAATTGGATTTCACTTGTTTTAATTTGGTCTTCAGTTAGATTAATTTGCGCCTAAAAAGGTGTAGTTGAGCCTGTCTCATTTGTGGTAAGAAACGCATGGAAACTGCAACAACCCAGGAGGATTCACGATGCTGTAAATCCATTGCAATCATCAATATACGCAAAGCAATAGAGTACGTTCGTCGCCCACAACACTTCATATTGGCGGCCAATGCATTTTCAGGAGTATCTGGTTGCAGCTAATGTGAAGCTTCAAATAACGGAACTTAACTGATAACAAACGTTCGTGACTTAATCACAGTATGTTCGTTATTCATACCTATAGGTACGGATTATATACTTCCCGTAATCCATATCTATTCCTATTGAGCGCACGATTCCAATCTAAATGCTATTAACGACTCCACGGTGCCGCCACCGCCAAAGGGCACGAACATGCTTGTGGTTATTCGGTATGCATGAGCTTGTCGGATACATGCCACGCTATGCGTGGATCAATGTACTCGATGCTGACGATTCTTGTTATGTCGTATCTTAATATTTCAGGGCTCTAGGCTCCTGACAAAAACAGTTATGTTTCTTTCATTTTGCAATAACCGTATTATGGTG